ACATTCGTAAATGTGATTATCAAAAATATCTACAACTACAGGTATCTGTACCTTTAGGGATTTAGTTTCCAACTGCAGTTGCTTGACTCACCTTTACAAAAAGGCTTTATAAATTATACAAACACAATAGACCTGACTGCTGATGACAGAAAGGTGAGAAAAGTAAGTAATTTAAAAATGATAACTATGTTCAAATTCATTTAAATGTATGTTAAAAATTAACCTGAAGTTTGTACAGAGGTTTTTAATATATACTGCATACCCAACTGAGAACACATCTTTACATGTTTTGTTGGCATTAACTTGCACACACACACACACACACACACACACACACACACACACACAAAGTCATACCACATGTACATGACCTATCTCACTACAGTCATTACAACTTGGCCTGCTAAGTGATGTCTGCATGTCACCAAGTACAGGCCAAAACACAAACACCTGTCTGCCTCTACACTACAATTCATATTTTAACAATTACCCAAACATTAACAGACGTTACCAGAATGAATATTAAGAACATCTGAATATACGTGTACTGCTAAAACTCCAAAATAGAACATGGTACCACCTAAAATTAGAGACAATGAAATCTGAGGTAGGAGCCTAGTAATCAACAGGCAAAAACCAAACCCCTCCTAATATAATTTCCTGTTAGCATCAGGATCATAGTTCAGTCAATTTAATCCATTTCTAGTAAGATGTGTTTACCAAAATACATCAATTGCAGGGAGGGAAGCAAAGAAAAAAGAAAAAGTGCAGAAAGAAACCTAGCAATGGACAATGCTGGCAAGGAAAGTCATTTTCAAAGACCATTAACTATCAACTGCTTTACTCAGGGCTGTGATTAAATAAGAATATTCATCCTGTGTTAAAAAGGGATGTCTATTTGACTGGGATAGGGTTTAGAATAAAAATGTATGAACTATAAAGAAGAATCAAACCACCATATACAATCATGCATATGACTTACAAGAAATACTGTGTGTGTACCTTTCAAATTGTTAATGAATAAATATTCACATCATTTTTGGAGGGATATGAAGTCAAACAAAACCATCATTTTCATTTTAAAATACAGATCCCACAAAACCAGTGTATTTGTCTTTGTAACGGAAAGAACCAAAGGACTGCTGGAAGAAAAATTCACATGGAGCACATTCTTAAATAGATGCCAGAATCCAGAATCCAAGCAACGTTATACGTCTCTTGTATTCTATTTATAATTTTCCTGCAAAGTGCTAGATTTTATACTAGTAAGAAAGTTTGCTTTGCTCTGTCATATCTCTGGTGAGCAGACACTCCGTATTAATGTAAAATGGTGATTTAATTTTTAGCTTTCTTGGTTTGCCCCTCACCTACCTAAGCCATGATTTCTCTGGTGATAACTAACACATCATGCTAATGAGAGAACCTAATGCACAATAGAAAAATGTCACTACTAATAATATTTGCATGAAGTTAAATAAAGCAACTGTAAGAGAATGTCAGACGGTTGTTATTTAATAAGACACAGTTTCACAATGAAATTATGTTGTTAATTTTGTTACATCATTGGGTGAATCCTAAATTACTACATAATGATGCTCAGAGTCATTTATAATTCTCTTATTATTTCATTCAAGTATGAAGAGACCTTATTAAAAAATCTACATTTTATTTGAAACAGGTTAAATATACTTCATCATTAATAAAAGGTAAATGTCTCTAGTAATGTGTGATACATGGACAGTGGCCATTTACTTGTATGGTTTCATTTATGTAGATTTTTAAAATAGATTAGACTATCCCAATCTTTTGAGATAGCTACAAGAATTTTATTTGCTATCCTCTCAGCTATATAAAAATAGGTACAAAAACAGAAAAAGCATCACTTAAAAGTCTGGTTAGAAAAATAAGCTTCCAAAAGCAGGCTTTTTTCTTCTTCTTTTTCTTCTTCTCACAATATCATTAAGGGATGCTGAGGAAAATAAAGTTCCAGGAGATGAGGAGGATAAAAAAGAGTGAAAGGTTTCTGGTCATTCTCGATCTGTCACTGATCTAACTGCCTTGAGAATTCCCCTTACAAAAGTCAAGACTTCTGTTCTTTAAGGTTCTCAAGTGTCATCTATACACAAAGAAATTATTCTTTTTGAGAAAATCGTAATGTAGGAGAAAAATGTAGACAGGCAGGAAAATTGAGTCAAATGGTCATCTCTCAAACTTTAGGGGAACATACATAATCCCACCAAATCTAAGTTGGCTTTAGACTGTGATGTCTCTTTGTTACTATTGGACAGAATGAAGGATTTACATTCAAGGAAATCCAACATTGCTCATAGAAATGATACAGATTTTTATATCCCTACTTTCTAGTTAACCTGTAGAAGATCTAAACATAGATTATTAATTTTCATGAGACATTTCCCACAAGTTTATGTGTAGTTAAGTACTGGTGCAAATTTTCTGTGAGTTAGCTTTCAAATACTTTATGTAGCCATACAAGTCAGTCAATCTTCCTAGTTTTAAAAGAAATGATCAGGAAAATCATTACAGTTTTATACTATTAAAGAAAACTTTTGAAAATAAAAAATATGCCAAATATGCTTTATTCACTTTAGGAGCTAAATAAATTTTTACTTGAACATTAAAATAATCACTTAGAAAACCTTCTCATGCCTTACAAATGAAATACATAGAATTCTATATACTTGATTAAATTAGACAAATTTTTATCTTTAAAATAAGCTGGTTTACTGTGGATATTAAAACTAATACTCCTCAAAACTGTTGGCTTCAAGAAATATCACAAAGAGTCTCTCTTGCAAATGTACACATGCACTGAATCAGCATTACTGACTAGAAGGACATCAAACATATTAAACACATAAACACAGATTTACACATAGTTTGAATTTAAAGTTCACACAATATACAAACTAAAATATCATCTTGAAGGAAGAAAACAAGCCACACACATGTATATTGACAACCTCTGTTACATGCTTTTCCACAATGCATAGAAAGTAAATATTTAGTAACTATCACAGAAGAGGGGAGAGAAGGAATCACTACATCAAAAACAAAAAATAAAACAATTTCAAAATGCAGTTCATCCACAATACTTTTTAATTTGTAACTGTCCCCTTTACTGTAGCATTGTTTAATAAGTAATTAATATTACATAGTTTTATATGGTATCATTAAGGATGACACCTATATTTTCATTTTCTTATAGTCGCTGGTGCTATTGTACATATATTCACAGACACACAAATTAAATCTGTATACTCAAACAGCTGTATTAAAGACATCATGATAGCTTAAGTTGTGCAAGTTTCTCTATCAATGATTTAAAATTATTTCCCTAATTCATAACTTTATATAGTTTTTTAAAACTAAAATGTTTTCTACAACTTAAAGTGTCCTTAGATTCAAATCTACTTGGAAATGGGCTGGTGCCAAAGAAGCAATCTAACGCCATCTACGTGGTTCAATAGCCATTTATCAATTGATCATTATCTCTATCTGGTTTTATTAACTCTTTTCTACCTAGAGGGAGACCTAAACCAATCTTCCTTTCTAACACACACACACACACACATGCACGCACACACAGGCTCGACCTACACTAACTCAAGGAAAACCCTGAAGGTGACATCTAATTTTTAAAAGTGTGGCACAAGTTATTTGGTTCTAAGCCTAGTGAAAACACACTTTGTGTTCCTACAAGCAGAGCCACTCAGACAGGAGCGTGCTCCAGGCAACAGCTCTCCGAAGCCCTCTGCAGTGGCAGGGAGCATCCCTTCCAGGAAATGAACTTTTCACTGGAAAGAATGGGACTGCACATACAGAGTTGCTTATTGGGTTTATGTTGATTGCATTTAAATCCCAGCTTACTCTATCAGCAGTAATCAGGGTCCCTCTACAGGATGTCAAAATACACCTAATTCAGATGCATTTATCCTATCTAGGGCTGCGTGATAAAACTGTTTGCTGGATAAATGTTAGAAGATCCTGGCTGTATGTACTATTCTTTGGCAAATACATTTCTAAAACTGTGGCAGTTTACAGCCTCGAGAATTGCCTGTTTTCCTCCGTTATCAACAATTTTAAAAATCTAATTCAAAGTATAAAATGTGAATTCTTACATGCGAGAGAGAGAGAGAGAGAGAGAGAGAG